AAGTAGAGAAGAACAAGAAAGTAGAAGAATATACAATTTTTTTGTTCAATGATTTGTTGGTTTGTAGATTGATTGTTGTTGTTGTTGTTGTTGTTGAGGTAGATCAAGTAAAGGTAATATGGTAACGTTTAAATGTTGAATGACAAACAAGTGAGACAAAAAGACAGTTCCGGTATTTATTGATAGGAAAGAATAAGAAAAGAAAGAAGGATATATGTAAGTAAAATGATAAGTTTTAGTTGTATATATATTGGCTTGAGTTAATAAAAAACAGTATGTATGTACTATTCGTATAAGAAAGATGACGCCTAAATGTAAGCAATATATTAACAAATATATATTTATTTTGAAAATGAACTAAAAAAGCTTTCATTGGAAATAAAAAAAAAATCACACATGATGTGGAATAAAATCTATATGAGCAGCAGGATTGCTAAAATAAAAACCTCTATAAGTCTCTATTGGCTCTGAAAGGGTATTCCATCTAGTCTATAAAAGTTTCCGAAGCCATTATATAAACCATAGAAGTTATATAGATATCCCTTGGTCTACAGAAAATCAAAAATCGACGGTTCTATTTTCATTCTTTGTCTAAAAAGATTAAAAACATAAATCTAGATCCCTTCTCTTATCTCTGAGACCGTTCATTGTTTAAAGAACACCTAATGGTACTTGGGTGTGTACAGACCATCGACTTTGAGAACTAAATATCAGATATTGTCTATAAATGAACTTGAGGTTTGATGTTGTTTCGGATGTAGGATTTCCCTTCCCGATCATAAGATATGCTATTGTTTTTAGAAGAACATATTGTCTTCAGTATACTTTGGCCATTACATTGATTTCTATTGCCCAAAAAAGACCTGAAGGAGAAAAAAACAAGTAAAAGCGTGTCAGACGGTGTTGTTCACTTTATATAAGGTATATGTTCTTACAAAAAAGGTTTCGGATTTTCGATCGATTAATAAAATCGGTTATTCACAAGTTTATAAAATGTTGACCCTTTGTGGGGGAGGTACCCGTAGGAGAAGGTAGACAGGTAATAGGTTGTGCAAAGTTTGATTCAAATCGGATATTTCCTTCGCCTAATATTAAATTTATAAATATTGAAAATTTTGTACCCTTTGTGGGGGAGGTACTAGAAGGAGTGAACTAATGGGTCTCATCTTCGGACTTAATCTAGGCTGGGTAATAATTTGGTTCAATTCGGATAATCTGTTCGCATGATATTATAAAATTAATTTGTTCCCAATTTTGACAATTTTGAGGAGGAGGTACCAGAAAGAGTGGACCGATATTCCTCATCTTCGAACTTGAACTATGTTCGGAACAAATATTACGATGTGCAAAGTTTGGATGAAATCAGTTACTTCCTTCAAGAGTTATCGTGCGCACCAGTCGGTCAGACAGAAAGACGGGCTGACGTTTGTAAATCGACTCCAAATTGCAAAAGATAATATTTCGATGAGGGACATTTTTGTCGTATCAAATGTGTATACCCATATTATCCATAAAGATGAGGATATAAAAATCAATAGGCCTTTCATGTTTTATATGGAGAACCTTATATTGTCCGCTATTTCGTCTATATGTATTCTATTGTATTTGGAAGAACTTGATAAATTATATTGCTTATAGAGGTCTTGTGTATACAGAAGACCTACTGGATGTGTTCGATTTTGTATGGAAGAACTTCAGGTCTTCAAATATCTATGGAGGTCATATGATCTCTTATTGCCTATAGAAGGCGTTTAGGAGTTATAAATTGTCTATTGAAGACCTACAACTACTCTATTATCTACGAAAGTCTTAGCGATCTTCATTCGATTGTAAAAAGACTTCGAGGCGACCTAATGCCTGTAAAAGCCTAGTCTACTGGTATTTTTTCTGGATATATTTTCTGGTCAATAGAAGACCTAAACTATTCCTGAGGGTTTCTACTATCTGTAGCAGCCTTAAGGGTATTTTATTGCATATAGAATGTAGGTCTTTCAATTTTATTTAGCTGGTCGTCTATGGCCTTTAGATTACTCTTATATTGACGATAAGGAACCTCAAGATTTATAAATCTTTATTGGCCTAGATGTATTCCATATTTTCTACAGAAGACCCAGGGGAATTCTTTTACCTAGAAAATATCTATGGAGACCATGTGGTTTCATATTGTCTATAGAATACATTCAAAACTTATTTTGTCTATTGAAGGCCTACAAATATTATATTATCTACATAATTCTTAGCGTTCTTCTTCTCTTCTTGGTATATATTAGAAGACCTACCGCTGTCTAACAAAATTCAGATGTCCTATTTTGTCTATAAGTATTCTGTGTGTGAAAGAGCATGAGTACTTCTACTAGAGGGTATAATATATTGTCTATTGAGATATTATATTGCTTGATATTAGTGATTCCTATTTCCGGATATAAACTAAACTATTGAGGATAGAAGTCTAAAGGGTCTATGGGTCTTTCAATATTCTTTTTCTGGTCTTCAATGACATTCAGATTGGCATTCTATTGACGGTAGAAAGTGTCAAGATTTATATATCTTTATGGATCTAGAAGTATTCCATCTTCTTTACAGAAAACACAGAAGGTTTCTACTACCTACAAAATACGATGATATTTTCTAAAATATAGCCGATATAAGGTTTTGAGTTGCTCTTTAATCTACAACATTTTAAAGTTGTTTATGAAACACATCTCTCCATATCTCTATATGTTCAACCAAGGTGGCTATAGTTTAAAAATAGAGTAGCATTTACTGGTCTTTAGAAGAGGTCTTTTATAGTCCAATCTAATATGTAGATTACTGATTTTTTTTGTTAAATATAGAAGACCCAAAGATTTTTATTGCATATATAAGGACCATACATCATCTATTGTCCTTGGAGGACTCATTGTCTTTGACAGACCAAAAGGTATTCTACTGCATATAAGAGATCCAGATGTTTTATAATATCTTGAGAAGTTCCCAAAAATATTCAAGTATATATCGAACAATTTTCAGATGTCTTCTAATGTCTTTTGAAGACTCAGAGGCATTCTATTGTCTATGGAAGATCGAAAGTTATATAGGAGGGACAGATGTTAGAGAAAGAGCCAAATGTCTACAATTTTCTTTGAGGAGCTAGAGGTTTGTTTTTGTATTTGTGTATTCATGTCATTCCATTGTGGATATTAGTCCCTAATGTCTTTCATTTTCTATTTAAGAAGTCTGTTGTTGATCTAGAGGTACATAATTATCTATGGAAATCTCAGATGTATTCTATTCTAGAAGGTGCAGAAGTCAGAAAATGATCCATAGATCTTCCGTTTACTTTGGGAGATATAGAGGTCTTCTGTTGGATGTAGGATACTAACATATCCTCTATTCAATATAGATGACCCACAGATTCAATATAGACGTCTAAGAGGAAGAACATCTAGAGCTGCTTCGTTGCATATGGAAGAGGTAGATGTCTGCTGTTAGCTTCAGAAGAATACGCAGAGGTCTTATGTTATCTTCTCTTGTTTATTTAAAAAGTCTATTATTGGTGTAGTTTTCTATATTTGTCTACAGAAATTCCAGATGTATTCTGAAGACTTTACAAGATTCAGAGCCCTTCTATTGCAAGTGTCATAGGAAGAATACCTAGACGTCGTTCGTTGGATATTGAAGGTAGATGTCTTCTGTTAGCGTTAGACGAATACGCAGAGGCCTTATGTTATCTTCTATTGTCTATTTAAGAAGCCAGTTGTTTATCTAGAGGTCCATAATTGTCTATATGGTTTTTGTTTTACAAGATGCCTTCTATTGTTTAATGAATGATGTCCAGTTGTAAGAATAAGAGCCATAGGTGTTTCGACTTCTTTGGGAGAGCTAGAAGTCTACCGATTTTTATAGAATCTATAGAATAGAAGCATAATATTTTTGTAGTTGTATAGAATAATATTTTTTCTCAGTTGTTTCCTACAAACCTATAAAACAAAAATCAACTTGTATTTGGAATGACTTTTCTGGTGGTGCAACAACTAAAAAAACATAATTGTGGGATTGATGCACACACACTCATACATAGATGATGTTGCAGATATAACGTGAAACCAACTTCAAATTCGAAATTAAAATCGAAACAAAATATACATGCAATTTTACATTTGAACACAAAAACAAAATCAACTGCAACACACATTTTTCTTGACACATCAAAACTATGACAAAAAACGGAAACCTACACAAAATACGCTAAAAGACAAAGAGTGATGGAATGGATGGTGGGTTTACAGTTTTCAATAGGTTCATATTTTGGAAAATATATTCCCACGAAACTATAAACCCTCTAGTCCATTAATTTTTTTTATTCTAAACACAGTCACAGTCAAAAGTTATACTAATTTTAAAATTGGTGGTGAAGACGGCTTAGATTATTAACTAAGATTGATGATTGAGATTGATTCGATTTTATATAATTTAGTTTTTAGTAAATAGTTTTATATAAATTTAGTTAAATGTTATTTAATAGTAGAGTGATTAGTTGGTATAGTTTTAAAAAACAGCAAATTTTTAAGATTAGATTGGTTTTTAGTTTAGTTTGGAAAAAGTGTATCGTCGGGTTCAAGTTTCATATTAATATATATGGAAACGTTTTTTATAATGAATTTATAAGTAAGTGAAACCAAAGGGAAACTTAAAGAAAGAACATAAATGAAAAGAAGAAACAAAAAATGTACGCAAACTAAAATGAAACAGAAATATGAAATTAAGAAACAAATTTTGAAATGAAACTTAAAAACTAAATGATAATTGAAATTTCTAATAATGAAAAAATCCCGGAGGATGTTTTTCGTATTATTAGAAATTAGAAACTTAATGCTTTCAAAGTTTCTTTGGAACTTCTTTGCGGAACAAAGAAGTTATTCTTTTCGCAATTTAATTCAACTTAAGGTTTAAAATCAAATTAAACTAACAAAAACAAAGTAAAAAAATGAACTGAACCGTTCGACTCACTCACGACTCACAGTGCATTTCGTCACTATTATCGTTGGGACCACAGTTCTTGACACCATCACAACGCAATTTATCGGATATGCAATAGCCCACTTCACACTGAAAATGATAGGTGGACTCGCAGAGCAGGCCAATGTATGGTGGTCCTGGTCCAGAATCTTGTATTTCAGTCCATACAATGCGGAAGCCCTGTAAGAGAAATTAGAAATATTAAGATATCAATTTTAAAAGAAAATATATTGTATATTGTTGAAAGACGAAAGGGGGAGGCGTGGGAAAGGCCTATAGAAGAATAGGTCATAAATGGTTTTTAGAAGACTGAGTGGCGTCATATTGTCTAGGATGGAAGTGTGGGAGGTTATTTGAAAATCTTCAATTACCTAAGGAATATATATCTTATATCTGGAAGTAGAGAATGCTAGAGGAGATTTATAAGGCTGAGGTCTTTATAGCCTAAGCGGCCATCAATGGTCTTTAGAAGACTGAGTGGCGTTATATTGTCTAGGGAAGTGCCAGAGATTCTTTGAAAATCATCTATTATTTGTATATCTTTGGAAATTTGTATATCTTTGGAAATTCAGTATGAAAAGTTGGGAAGGTCTAGAAGGGAATTTTATCGACGCAGTTCGAATTATAGTCTACAGAAGTGTACTGTGTATTTAAAGTCTATATAAGTCCTCTAATGAGTGACGTTATATTATCTAGGGAAGTGCCAGGGATTCTTTGAAAATCCTCTATTACCTAAGGATTGTACATCTTTGGAAATTCAGTAAAAGAAGTAGGAAAGGCTTAGAGGAGATTTTGAGGACGCAGGTCGAATTATAGTCTACGGAAGTGTATTTAAAGTGTATATAAGTCCTCTATTCTTTATAGAATAGAAGACCCAGATATATTCTATTACAGAAGAGATCCAGAGAACTTACATATATTGTCTATAGAACGAATAGAGGTTTTTTATAGAGATCTTCCATTGCCTATTTGAGTATAGAACATCTTGAGGTCTTCTGTAGCCTTATATTGATTATTGAAGTCTTGTATAATAACTATTTATGACACCCACGGATATTCTATTGTCCATTGGATCTTTTATATACCGTAAAATACCTATTTCTTGTATTTTCTTGAGAAGTCCAGCAGGTCTTATAGTTTTTAATGAAGAAGCCGGGGTCTGTGGGATATCCAAAGGTTTTCCATTGTATAGAATAGTGCTAATGTTTTATGGACGGGGTCTGTTGTCTATAAAAGACATAGAGGTACCCGTTATAGTCTATAAAAATGAAATCATCTATTTTGCTTTGAATACTCAGAGGCCTGGCTATGGAAGAAACAACGTCTTTTAAAAAGGTGCAGAGGTTAGAAAATGATTCACAGACCTTCCGTTTACTCTGGGTGATTTAGAGGTTTTCTGTTGAATATACTAACATGCCATCTATTCAATATGGGCGATCTAGTGGTGGCCAGCTGTCTAGTTTATAGTCTAGAGAAGTCTAAAATGTCCATTTTCTATAGAAGTCTCAGGGGAAGAATACCTCTTATAATGTCCTCAGAAGTCCAACAGGTATTATAGTTTTTTATGACAAAGCCAGGGTCTATGGGAAATCCAGAGGTCGTCACGTGTTCTTTAATTGTATATGTAAGTCCCAGAGCTCTTCATTTGTCGATGGAAGAGGTCTGTTATCTATAGAAAATTCAAAGGGCGATAATTTTTTGTAGAAATCCGGAGGAGACTAGACTTTGAAGACTGAGAGACATTTTATTTTCTATGGAAGAACCAATGTTACATAGAAGATCCATAGGTCTTCAGCTACCTTTGAAGAGCTATGAATATTCATTATAGACGATCCAGAGGTCGTATGTTGCCTATAGAAGACCCAGATGTCGTCTGTAGTCTATAGAAGTCTCAGAGGAAGTGGCAAGTCTCCACAGAAGTCAATAGTAGATCGAGTGGTTTGAATTGTATATTTAAGTCCCAGTGGTCTTCATTTGTCGTTGGAAGTGGTCTATAGAAGATCCAAATGCCCATCATTTTCTATAGATATCCAGAGTTATTTTCTACTTTAAAGACTGGGAGGCATTCTATATTCTGTGGAAGAACCAATAATATACAGGAGGTCCATAGGTCTTCTCGAAAGAGCTAAGAATATTCAATATAGACGACGCAGAGGTCGCCTTCTGTCTACAGAAGACCCAGAGGTCGTCTGTAGTCTATAAAAGTCTCAGAGGAAGTGGCAGGTCTCCATAGAAGTGCCAGGGACAATGGGATATCGAGTGCGTTTTAATTATATATAAGTCGCAGAGCTCATTTGTCGATGGAAGAGGTCTGTTGTCTATAGAATATCCAAGGGTTCATTATTTTTTATAGAAATCCCAGAGGTCCTCTGTTATTTTAAATACTGAGAAGCATTCTATTGTCTATGGAAGAACCCATGTTATAAGAGGTCCATCAGACTTCCGTTATCTTTGAAGAGCTAATGAAGACCCATATGTCCGAGAGATCCTCTGGTGACAATAGAATATGCGAAGATCTTCCGTTGTCTATGGAAGGGGTTGAGGTCTTCAGTTGTATATAGAATACAAAGAAAGAAAGTCTTCTGGTGTCTATCTAAATATGTATAGGTCTTCGATTGACTAACGAAGTCCATTGCTTTTAGATGTTATATACTTGTTCTGTTAGCTCTGGAAGACTAATAAATTTTTGTTATCTACGGAAGACCAAGAGGTCATTCATTGTTTATACAGGTGCATTATTGTCTATAGAAATCTTAGATTTCTCGGTTAGCTTACTTACATTCTGTTTTCAACAGAAGTCTCAAACTAAAATAGGAGGTCCAGAAAGCATAGAAAAAGTCATATTGGAAGATTTCGATGTTTTCTGTTGTCTATAGAAGACCTTTATGTCTTTTGTTACCTATGGAAGAGGTCTTCTTTTAGCTGCAGAAGAATAAGCAGAGGCCTAATGTTGTCTAGCGAAGATCCAGATGCCTTCCATGCTCTACAGAAATGCATGATGTATTCCATTGTGTACAAGAGACAATTAAGTTTTTGATTGTCTGTAGAAGAGGTAGATGTCTAATATTGGATATAGAAGTACACAGGTCGTCTATAGCATATAGACAAACCTGAGGTCCTCTTATGTCCTAGAGTTCTCCTCCTACTTATGGAAGTTCTAAAAGTCTTATATTATCTTAAGAAACCTGCAGAACTTTTATTTTCTAGGAATTCTATATACGTCATATATTGTCTATAGAGAACGTAGAGTTCTTACTACAGGTCTACGATCCTGTATTGTATTGAGAAGACTCAGATGCCTTCTGTAGTCTACGGTCAGAGAAGGAACCGCATTTCCTTCGTTATCATTGGAAAATTTAGAGGTATTATGTTATCTATAGAACAACCAGTAATCCTCTATTAAATAAAGGAGACCTAGAAGTCTTTCATTGCATATGGGTGAAGAAGAGGTCTTCTGTTAGCTTCAGAGGAATACGCAGAGGTCTTATGTTGTCTACTGAAGTTCCAAATCTTACATTGTCTATAGAAATCGCAGAGGTATTCCATTGTTTTATTATTTGTAGAAGATCTAGCCCTAGAGGTCGTCAGTTGCCTATTGAAACCCCTGATGTCCTTTATTGTCTATATAATACATCAATGATCTATAATGCCTATACAATACCCATATATGTACTATCTCTAGAAGTTTTCTATTATTGGGAAATACCTAGATCTAATCTCTCAAGAGGGGATATTTTACATTATGGCTAGAAATCTTCTGCCTAAAAATCGTCCACTTTTATAGAAACCTAAAGGTAATCTATTGTCTATAGAAGACCCAAAGGTATTACACACTGTTCTATGAAGACCTAGACATTATATTGTCTATAGAGAACATCTACGTCCTGTAGACCCTAGTCCAAAAACATAGAAGTGTTGTATTACCCATAGCAGACTCATTTCTCAACAACCTACCATATTTTTTTTTAAATTACAGATCTAACGATCTTCTACTGACCATAGAGCTACGTCCGTTAACCATTCGAACTTGAGTTTCTAGTAGGGGAGACTGGGGCACCTTCGGCATCGGGGCACCTTCGGCAATCGCGTTTTCAATATGAAGCTCTCACCGTACATCACTAGTTTCGATACATAGGTATCGAATATCGAAATAAATAACTGGCACAAAGTTTGAAAGTTCTAGCTAATAAGCTTATTTAGATACATAGATTTTTGTATTTTTATAGATGTTTCTGTAATATTTCAATTCAATTTCGTAAGTATTTCGTGTATACAACTTTTAAAAATTTTAAGACAATATTATTAAAAAATTGTTAACTACGATGTGTATTATTATAAAAATATTTAAAAATATAATGTTTTTACAAATCTGATCGAAAAAAATGAAAAAAACTATAAAAAGTACATTCGGGGTACATTCGGCATTTTAAAGTGGGGCACATTCGGCCATATACAGATTGTGCAATAGTATTTCCTTAAAATGTTTTTGAGTTTGTCTTTAAAACTAATCCTTTAATATGGCCCGAAAATGCATATATAAGATCAAACGTGCTTGTATTGACGAAAATGCGATAGAAAACCTCTATTTCTGATGGTGTGTGCGACCTTGAGATGTAAACGTCCGCCGCTAGAAAATAAAGCCCTATAATTCAAACATTGTGTGGCGTATTAAAACCAAATAGAGCCTTTAGAGGATCAGAATTTCAACCAGACTGATAGCGATGACAATTACCCGGCTATGACTATGGTGCCGAATGTGCCCCATCAAATGCCGAAGGTACCCCGGGTTGGGGCACATTCGGCGAATTTGACTTTTTTTACAAAACTGAAAAATTTTTTAACTAATACTATTTTTATATATCTTTTTGGAACTATTTTTGATAATTAAGAGTCAGAGGACAATAATCAGCCATAAAGTTGTTATATATGTTCAATAAGTACTGAGATATAGAGCTCTAAAAAAAAAGTGCCGAAGGTGCCCCAGTCTCCCCTACTTACCGGTGCACCAACAGTCTTATCACTGGTGGTAAAACTAATACGAGCCGTTTGTCCCGTAGAAATATAATGCCATTGTTCCATGGGGGGCTTTTCGCCACACAATTCCAAAGGCGGTTGATCGGAGTCAACATTTACCCAAAGACGCAAAACAGCTGCAGGGCAACCACGATCTGAAAATAAAATGAACCAGAACAAGGTTAAAGAAAAATCTGAAAATGATACTTCATTCTATACTCACTTGCCGGATCACCCTCCAATGAGAAGTGTTCAAAATGTATTGATAGCTTATAGCCCGGACGGGCTGTCATTATCCAATTGCATGCCATTGAGGCCATACCGCGACCGGGCGCCTTATAACCCGCCGGATAATTGGGGGATGTTATAATGCCTGAATCTTCACTGGAAAAGTTGCCTCCACAGTCGCCTATCTCACTTTTGGCAGTTTCAAAAAAATAACGAGCCTTAAAACCACTGGCCACATTCTCTTGATCGGTATGCAATGTAATACGCAAACCAACCGCACCCCTTGGGCTCTCGACGGGGCCGGGCGCTGTCATACCACAATAGCGACCAAGAAAACGATCATTATTATCCCGATAGACGACATACATTTCCAACCAATCTTCAAAGCAGTTAACAGAGCTGTAAATAAAATAACAATAAACATTTTAAAAATTGAAATTAACTGGCAATTTTTTGGGTGCTACAACTTACCCATATGCCCCTGCGGTTACATTTGCATTACCATCGGCCTTTATTTTAAAATGATCGAATACAATTGTCACCTGTTCATTGGCTTCGGCGAGAAACAGATATGAACAATTCGTATCCGAGGGATAATTCGATGGATAGCGGGGGCTATTCAATTCGCCACGTTTTTTCGATGAACTGACATAGGTAAAGCTACAGGTGCCATCGGGTGCCGCGGTACCGGGTATTTTGTACTCAGTCTCAAAGGTATATTTACCCTTGAAACCACGCCCTTGCAGTTCACCCGAACTAAATACCATGGCCAGACGGGGACCATCACTAACAACACGTTGAGTTTCATTGCCACATAATTCATAATCGAATTTATCATAGGCATCGGCAGTTTCTTGGCCCTTGAGATAGACTTTCAGATAGCCATCGGTACAATTTGATCTGAAAAGGTACGAATACATTTGTTATTGATATCAATTTGACAATTTGCCTCAATTCTATAGGTGTATATGTGTGTTGGTGTCTACTTACTCGCTCTTATCCTTATGCTCAACCTTTGGTATGTTAAATGCCAAAAATTCCAAACGTACCCGTTCTAAATGTTGGGCATCCTGCATACCATAAATGAAATATCTGCAAAACGAAAATTATATCCCCACAAAAACAAAATGAATAAGCGATTCAGATATTGAAGTTAATGTAATTTTTGTTTTACTTACCTACAAACGGTCTTTGGTATATAGGGATAAGGATAATTTGGCGATAGGACAAAACCTGTGGATTCCTTTTTAGATAAAATCTTTTGATCACATTCGGAGCCACGTATGTGAATGCCATCATTTTCTCCTGTTTATTTTTTTTTGGATATTGTTTTTCGGTTTTCATAGCGAAGGAAGATCGATGATTTTTATGTTGTTGTTGTAGTTGTCGTTGTGTGTTACAGAGTTAAGATTTTTGAAAATTTTGACCATTTCATAATTGTCGGATGATAGTTTGGAAGTTTAAAAATTTTGTTGTATTGTGGATAGGGTGAGAAAGAGTAGTTGTTGTAGTTTTATTAGAAGTTGTTTTAAAATTTTATAAAAAATTGTAACCAATAATTGCAAAAATAAATGAATAACGAAACATTTAATATGTACAGAGTAATCCATCAAAGTTCCTCCGCATCGGAATGAGCTCAATAATAACAAACACATACAGTAAGCCATAAAATGTAAATCAAAATTATGCTGAAAACTTGAAAAAAATTAAAAATATTTTATTTATTCTGAAACACAGTTGGGACCCTTGAAAATTTAAACGCCATGAATTAAACTGTAAACGTCTTAAAGTTCAGAAGACCCATTTGTTTTCTATGGTATATCCGTAGAAGTCTAGAGGTTTTCCATTGTCTATGGAGGAGATAGAGTTTTTTCCTTTACTAAAGACTTTCCAGAGATCGTTTATTGTCTATAGGGTAACGCAGAGATAATCTACTGTCTCCAGAAGACTCGAAATCTACTGTTGTTTGTCGAATAACTAAACTTATATATTAGATCCAGATGATAGAGGAAGTGCAATAGGTCTACAATTGTTTTTGGAAGAACTACGTAGATGTCTTCTACAGTCCAAAGTCCCAGAATCCCACAGGTTTTATTAATTTCTATAGAAGTCTTCCAGTTGCCCATAAATGACGAAAAGGTCTTACATTTTGTGTAGATTACCGAATACCTTTTGGTCATTGTCTATAGAAGAAACAGAGGACATCTGTTGACTAAGGAAACCATGGAGGTCCTTTATAGGCCCTAGAAGACCCAGAAGACTTTTACATCTCTTTGTATAGGTACAAATGGGTGCTTAGTTTTAGGGTTTCCAGTCATGAATTATACTAAACATGAATTGTCCGCAGGGTCCGCAAAGGTATTATATTGTCTTCAGAAAATTCAGAAGTTGGAGGAATTGTAATAGGTTTTCCATTGTTTTTGGAAAAGCTGTTGTGAAGTCTTTTGTTGTCCATGGAATATCCACAGGTCCTCTAATGTCTAGAGAAGGTCTACAATTTCTCTATAGTATACAGAAGACAGGGACACAGACAGACAGACGAAGTGGTCTTCTGTTTTATATAGATGACCGAAGACCTCTAGGTCATTGTCTATAGAAGTCTCAAGGAATAGTTCGCCTGTTGCCTATAGAAATACCGCATGTACCTAATTGTTTATGGAAGAACCAAAGGACTTCCTCAGTCTTGCACATCTCTAAAGCCATTTGGGTTCAAATATCAAATAAATATACTCATGATCCATTGTAACCTTAGATGCTTAGTCTTAGGGTCTTCGTTAACTTAGGCCCTATATTGTCTATAGTCCTTTATTGTCTATAGGGGACCCAGATGTATTATATTGTATCTAGAAGATACGGAAGTCTTCTATTATGTGTTAGAAAAACTGCTAGAGGAAGTGTAAGAGGTTTTGCATTGCCTTTGGGACTTCTTTTGTCTACAGATTCTCCACACGTCATCTAATGTCTCAGATAGCTAACCGAACTCTTGTTCGCTGTCTATAAAAGCCCCAGAAGCCCTCTATTACCTATATATGATACAGAGGTCATCTTCAAATACTTTTGAGATACGTACAAATTATACCTAAAGATGCTAAGTTTTAGCGGGATTTGTCATGAATAAAACTAATCAAGTAAAAATGCCATGATGTTTGGGTCGGCTGAACTTTTAATACCCTCCATCATGAGGTGTCTATTTAATATACCTAAAATCAATCAGAACTTTTTTATAGAGGCTATTTCATGGTGAATTGCTGCTTGGAGAAATACTAAAGACTAAACTATCTCGGTTGTATTTGGGAGGCTCAGATGCCTTCTGTTGTCTACGGTACACTCAATGTAATAAAGGAGGCCCAGAGTTCCGAAAGGAGTCATTCGTTATCATTGAAGAGGTGGAACTCTTCAGTTGTCTATGGAAGACCCAGTTGTCCTCTATTGAACTGTAGGTCTTTCGTTGCATGGAAGAGGAAGGAGTCTTTAGTTAGTTTTAGAATACTAATCATTATGTCCATTGAAGTTCCAGATGTCTTCCATTGCCTTTAGGAGACAAAAAAGTTTTTTTTATTGTCTGTATTATTGTATATAGAAGACCCACTATTGTCTAGAGACAAACCTGAGACATTTAATGTCTTTACAAGACCTAGATGTCTTCTATAATCTCAAAAAACTGGATGGCTTCTATTTTCTATACGTCTTTCTAGATGTCTACGATTCTTTATTTTTCTATATGTTATTTTTGTTGACCCAGAGATCATACATTGTATATAGAGGCGAAAATACTAAGCACTAAACTACTGACATTTAGGTTGGGCTTGGATCTTCAACATACCGAACATGGCGCGTGAAGAAGTTTTTTACCCCATAGGTCTTCGAACGTCAAATTGCAGTCACTTCGTAATGCTAACATATAATAATCTCGGTTGGAAAATGCACCTAGGATCATCAAAATTGTTAAAAAGGGCAAAATTATGAAATTATAGCCAACACGATCGAAAAACGTATCTGGAGACTATACGTGGACCTATATTGTTGAGTTTTTAGTAAAAATATTTTCAACAACGAAATTTGATATTTTGGGTTCTTATTAAGTGTCGAATCTTCCATAGCCTCCTTATACAAGTTCCGATAATATTTATATATATTGAATGTTTATCTCCAGGTTGAGGGTATTAACAGTTAGGACCTGGTCAAGTTTAACGATAGTTTTACTTGTTTATTATTCCTATTTTCATACTACAGGCCGCAAATATGGATAATTGAAAAAAAATGCTTCCTAGGCTTAATCCGTCGTGGAAGTATATAGAAGCGTAACATGTTCGCTCCACATATCATTGATGGAACTACTTTAAATCATTTACATAAAGCTGGATTTAAAAAGAAGCCACACCGATTAACAGAAAAAAATAGGATGGATCGAATTTCCATCTGCGAAACCTTGGTCAAACGGAATGAGGTATGGATCACATACGATAACACTGTGCGAAAACGATCGTGGATAAAGAGCGGTGAAGCACCACAAACAGTGGCCAAACCAGGACTAACGGCCAGGAAGGTTCTGCTATGCATTTGGTGGGACTGGAAGGGGATTATTTATTATGATTTGCTTCCATATGGCCAAATGCTAAATTCTGATCTCTATTGTCAACAACTGAAGCGATTGAAGATAACAATTGACCTGAAACGGCCAGAATTGGGCAACAGAAGAGATGTGTTCCACCTGGACAACGCTAGGCCACACACATCTACAGTGACTCGCCAGAGACTTCGGGAGCTTGGTTGGGAAGTTTAATGTGTTTTGTGTGATATACGCCCTATTGTTAAATTTATTTGGGTTCCATGTCGTAAGGAGATAAATGAAGCGGATATCAAATCATAGATTTCTTCTGGTATGATTTTCCCTATAATGGGATGCAGTTCTGCATAAACTGTAAACCCAGATGAGGGTATAACATCGTCTTTGGTAGCTTTGTTTCCGTTCAAGATCACGAGTTGGCATTAAGCCAGCTCAGGTACTCTGCAACTCCAACTAAAATATTCAGTTAAAATATGGGTCTAAAACCTTAAAATTACTTAAAATCTGAATTGTGTTAAATAAATATCTGAATTGTGTTAAAATAGGAATCTACATTGAAAATTTTCTGAACATGTACTGCGATCGTTTTGAAATCCATGATCGTACAGTTTTACGTTTATTCTTTCCGGGACTGTGATAACTGTAGGCGTGGATTTTTAGGAATATATTTCAGGATATTTAATACATAGACTTGGATTGTTCAGTTCAAGTTTATTGTATTGTTCAGGACCTGTGATAGGTTTAGAAATCTCAGATATGAACTTTTTAAGAATGTTGTCCATTACTTTTATTTGTGCCGAAAATCATCATCCAAAGGTGAGATTATACATTTTAATCTCTTCAGGAGTTTAAGAATATTTTTTCATGACCTGCTATCATCCTGTCAGTCAGTCGTATTGAGCTGCAGCGACTACTGTGGCTAGACCATGTTGTGCGAAAGAATGAGAATGTCCCTGCTCAAAAGGCATATAAAAGCGAGCCTACTGCTTGTTCCCGTAGAAGGGGAAGGCCACGAATTAGATGGAAAGACCAAGTAGAAAACAACATCTTGGAACGTGGTCTTTCAAATTGGAGAAGATGCGCACAAGACCGACGCGCTTGGAAATATTTTTTAAACTGGGCTTATGGAACAACCGTTCTGTAACAAGCCAGCTAGGTAAGTAAGCTATCATTCTGAATCCATAGTCGCCTAGTTTTAAAAATATTCTTTCCAAGACCTTTGATATCCGTAGTCGTGGATTTTAAGGAATACGGTTCCAGGATAGTGATAGTCTTTAAATACATAGACGTGGGTTATTCAGAAATCCATTTGGGGAAAGTGGATTTCCTAAAAATGTTTTTCTACGAAATCCTACCTCAAAATATAATCTATTCAAATCCCTTCAGACTTTCGAAGGTATGTGGACTGAAATATTAATTTTTTTGGATGCTGCGTCTCCTTCTTTCATTTTTAAATCAATGTGATACAAAGACAAACCTATTTCAACAAAAAAAAAAAAAAAATATGTACATATGTATAATAAATAAAATCTCATAAAACAATACAAATAATGTTGATAATAAAATACCATATTTGATTTGATGTTGTTGTAGTTATATAGTTGACAATACTTACGTATAAAATCTAATTTAACAAAACTTTCACTAAATTCATAAATTCCTTTAAAACCACGATTTTGCGTATTGGCTGTGCGCGATAATGTAAAAAAATGAACAAACAGACTCGATTCGCTCGAATATAAAACTAAATTTCTTTGCTGTCCGCAATATGTACCAATTAATGCTGATGAATTGTCGGGACCATCGTAAACTTTAACATAATCGAATGGGCAGCTGATAGATTGATTGGTATAGGTAGACAGATTTAGATTTTTTTTGTAGAGATTCAGAGATTTAAATTTAGAATGAAATAGAAAATAAAAAAAGAAAATTTTGAAAAAATAGAATTTTGATTAATAAAAATTTTGAAATACACTCTAACAGAAAAGCTTTAACAGCTAAGGTATATCTTTCCCTGTTGGATGGGTGAAAAAAATATACCTTAGAGTAAAACTTTTAGGGCTTTTGGTCAGCCATCAATGGTACTCACTGTGGTCCACCAAAAAACAGATCAAAATCCCGAAATTCTAAACGAACTCTTTGATTCGATTCACCCAAAAATTGATATGTACAGGACATATCCTTGGGATAGGCACCCGGATAGGTGGGCGATATTAAGACGCCCGTCTTATTTATACTCAAACTGGGTGTTATTGTATAGGAACATGGCGAACCAGCAATTGGTATACCAATCTCATATTCCGCTATAAGAGAGGAATTTTTTTCAAAAGGGGTTAAATTTGGATTATTAAATATTTGTCTTGAGAATTGAGGGTTATGTCTGTTTTTTTGGATACTTACATGCATTTATAAATCTAAAGGTGCCCTCAAATAGATCCGGTGTTGTTAGATTTTTATTGGTAAAAAATGAAATAGCTATGGCACGATACATGGAAATGCGTTGTCGGGGTGGTATTGTACCACAATAACGGCCACCAAATGGTGAGTTTATCAGTTCTGCTGGTTCCGATGATTGCACTTCTGAGTATATATCCATATACTCATGAACACATCTGTGACGGAGAGAGAGAGAGAGAGAGAGGGGGAAGGGAGAATATTTAAATAATTGATAAAAATTAGATTTAAAAATAATTAACCGCAGAATTGAAGCCATTAGCGTGAATTTCTTAAAGAATATTTTTTTGAGGACTATAAAAGGGGTAGATTTTTTAAAGAATATTTGTTAAGGCTTCAAGGAGGCGTGGATTCTTTAAAGAATATTTTTTCAAGGCCTATCCAAGGCGTGGATTCTTTAAAGAAGATTTTTTCAAGGCCTATCCAAGGCGTGGATTCTTTAAAGAAGATTTTTTCAAGGCCTATCCAAGGCGTGGATTTTTAAAGAAGATTTTTTCAAGGCCTATCCAAGGCGTGGATTTTTTGAAGAAGATTTTTTCAAGGCCTATCCACGGCGTGGATACTTTAAAGAAGATTTTTTCAAGGCCTATCCAAGCCGTGGATTTTTTAAAGAAGATTTTTTCAAGGCCTATCCAAGCCGTGGATTTTTTAAAGAAGATTTTTTCAAGGCCTATCCAAGGCGTGGATTTTTTAAAGAAGATTTTTTCAAGGCCTATCCAAGGCAAGCATTTTTTACAGAAGATTTTTTCAAGGCCTATCCAAGGCGTGGATTTTTTAAAGAAGATTTTTTCAAGGCCTATCCATGGCGTGGATTTTTTAAAGATTATTTTTTCAAGGCCTATCCAAGGCTTGGATTCTTTAAAGAAGACTTTTTCACGGCATATCCAAGGCGTGGATTTGTTTAAGAAGAGTTTTTCAAG